CCGTGTGTGTACCTGGCGTTTACCCGTGTGTGTACCTGGCGTTTACCTGTGTGTGTATCTGGTGTTTACCTTTGTGTGTACTTTGTGTGTGTGTCAGGACGTGTTGGTGCGAGTGGTGGGGAAAGAGGGCTTCTTCTCGCTGTGGAAGGGCTTCACACCGTACTACGCCCGCCTTGGACCTCACACCGTCCTCACCTTCATCTTCCTCGAACAGATGAACCGTCTCTACAAGACCTATGTGCTGGACCTCTAACACACACACACACACACTCTCTCTCTCTCTCTCTCTCACACACACACACTCTCGCTCTCTCTCACACACACACACAGTTTTGTACAGGATGGACACCAAGTTTTGATGACTGCTGTTATTAAAGTCTTATTGTAGAACTGACCTCCCCTCCTCCTGACAGCATCATGGCCTCACCTGGTTACCATGGTAACAGCCTGATAATAAACTGTTTGTAGGCTCAGTTTGTGTTTGCTGTTTTTCCTCCTTGTGCTTCAGTTTTATTCTGATAAATCATTTTTAGTTTATTCTGGTTTTAATGAATCAAAACAGGAAAGACGACTGAAAGTTTCTAAAATAAATAAAATAAAATGTCTCTTTGTTGCTGCATAAATACAATTACCTGTTTACTGTGCTTTTCCTGAGCAAAGTAAACAAAAACAAGATAAAATACTCTATTTACTCCTGGATAATATTGAATTAAAGTAAAATAAACTTGTTTTGTTAGAAAAGTAAACCTGTAGCTGAAATCATTTCTGCTGCGGCTCCATCCGTCCAGCAGGGGGCAGCAGCTCCTCAACTCAGGAGGAAGTTTGAGTGAATTCTGTAGTGACACCAGGGCGGTAAACAAACAGCACTAACTCGTAATCTGACCCAGTCCTGATGTGGACTCGGGACCAATGAGTCCAGTTTGAAGGATCTGGAGGTTCTGATGTTTAACAAGCCACAGGTGTTTTGCTAAAATCTGCTCCCTGCAGAATCTTGATTTCCTCTGAGGTCCAGTTTTTAAACCGACTCGGGTGTATCAGAACATGACTGATGGTCCAGATGTTCTGATCGTTACAGTGAGCAGATGGGTTTCAGGTTTGCTTCTGATCCTTTTACCCAGAATGCAACACTGCAAGCTTCATGTTAAAGTTTAAATACGTGACGGGTTCTGTTTATGGAAAGACCCAGGTCAGCCCACCAGATCGTAGACCTCACAGGTGAGTGTGGAAAGGTGCGCTGTTATAAGGGCGGTACTTGATGCCATTTTATAGATGATGTCACCGTCCAGAACTGGAAGAACCTAGCTGTTTGGTTTTTTTTGTTACCTTTTCCTTTTAGCCATCCTATTTGTAAAAAAAACAACTGCAGTATGACTTTTTATAACTGTTCATTGTTGTCGCTGTTGTCCATGGTTGTCATCATTCTTTGTTAAATCAGGTCTCTCTTGTAAATGAGTCCTCGAGGCTCAATGGGATTTACCTGTAGAAATAAAGGTTGATTGAATATTTTGACAAGCAGCATGAGGGAAGAGGTCGGTCAGTCTGGCTTTAACTTTTATCTGAAGGTCATTGAGGCCCTGTGATGAGCTGGAAACCTGTCAGGGTGTCCCTCGCCCTAAGTGGATGGATGAAGGTTATGAGTCCAGACAAATTCCAAGATTTTTATATGTCTGAACAAAATCCAAGGCTGAACCGTCTGCTCAGATGATCCATGGAGACTTGAGGCAATCGATCAAAGATGATGCGTCTTCCTGGCATTCAGACAAAGATGGAGGTAGGATTGCTCTACAGAGGTGAGACGAAGTTTCAGGATTGAGAGAAGGGCCTCGTGAAAAAGACTGTGTCATCGACAACCATGTTTCTGGGAAACGGCTTTGACTGCATCACAGATGTAGATGGAGAAGAAGGTTGGGCCCAAGGTGGTGCCCTGAGGCACACCTTTGGAAATGGGTTGTGGTTCTGAGAAGGTGTCATTTCTCAGCTTTTGGACATGGTCAATGAGATAGTTGTGAAACTAGAGAGCTAGAGTAGAAACCAAGTCAAAGGCTGCAGGAAGATCCACAATGGCCGCTGCCTCCTACTTCCTGTCTAATGGAGCGATGATGTCATCGCAGCGAGAACGCCATTCTGTTAATGAGAGTTCAGCCAAGTCATGGGAGGACCAGGGACCACATTGGTCCTTGCTCCAAAGTATTTTCAGTCATTTTTACTGATTAGGTAGAACCAGACATTGACCCAGAACAAGCAGAACCCTTCATCAGAACCAGCAGAACCCTTCATTTAAAGATGCCAAAGGTCATCAGAGTTCAATCTGAGACTGGGTCAGTTAGGTTTCATCTTCCACCTGCTCACTGTAAGCTCCTCTGAACAGGAAGTAGGAGTCAGTAACAGGAAGTAGGCGTTGCCTGTGAAGAAGTTTAGGCCTAGTTTCCCATAAAAACCCAACAAACGTCATTTGTGAGAACCTTTTACAGACTAGTCTTTTTTGTTTAAAGTCACACACTTCCCTGCTGTGCCGTATAAGGACACACACTTCACCCACTGATGCTCGCTGTGTGTGTGTGAACACCACATCCTCTTCAGCCCTCGCCTCGGTTCTTTCGTCTTGACTCAGAGAACCTGTTCTCCGTTATTGAGGAAGTTAAAAGATTCATGTTAACGTTTAGTTCTTCCTCTGCGCTCGTGCACGTTCCGCTTCACGCTGCATAAAGGGCATGTGGTGTTAGAACCTGACCTGTTTATTTATGAAACTGATTAAAAATGGGTCCTAAGAGGTCCGAACTGAACGAAACTAACGTTCTGGGTGTGTCTTCCTGCAGCAGAGAGCTGCAGCTGGGTTTTAGCTGCTCTTCAGCTCATCTCATCTCTTTAACAGCTGTTTGAGATGAAGATAACAGAACAGGACCCAAGACCCAAACACGAGTTCTGAATGGTTCCCGTCTCTAGTGTCTACTTTTATTCGTTGGCATAAGCTGATGCTATACGTCGTTATGGGGCCTTAAACAGACATGCTAAGCTAACACATTGATGCTAAGGTATGCTAAGCTAATACAGACGTGTTAACACAGTGATGGAAACACCATAGACATATATACATAGACTCCTCGTTGAGCGGGCTGGCCTTTTATAAAGGTACATCAGAGCGTCAGCCATTTTGAATGTGGCAGAACAGCCGGTCAACTGATAGAAGGAAATGAACTGAGCGTCATGAAGCACCGTTCTACAAAGTGTTTTAAGTTGATCCCTGTCATTCACACACACTAATGTTTAGAAAACAGACACCAAAGACAACATTTGTAACTTTAAAGAACTCTCATCTTGAGCAAGCATGAAGGCGACAGTGGAAAGAAAAAACTCCCTCATGAGGAAGAAACCTTTAGCAGAACCAGGATCAGGACAAGAGGACCATCTGCTTCGACCAGCTGGGTTTGGTAGGAATAGATACACAATGGCAGGTCAAGAATCACATGTTAAGATAGAAATAGTATCAAATGAAAACTATTCAGTTTTAACAATTCATTTAAGGAAATGAGGTCAGTTTGTCCTCTAGTAGAACTAATAGAAAACTAGGTGACTCTAGAAGTTTACTAGAGACTATAGGATTTATCAAAAAGGAAAGTCTTCAAACTGGACAATGTGTCAGCCTCAAGGACAGAAACTGGAAGTTGGTTCCACAAGAGAGGAGCCTGAGAACTGAAAGATCTTTCTCCCATTCTGCTGCTGGAAACTCTAGGAACCACGAGTAAACCTGCAGTCTGAGAGCAAAGTGCTCTGTTAGGAAAATATGGAACAATAAGATCTGTAATATAAGATGGAGCTAGGTTGTTGAGAGCTTTGTAGGTTAGAAGTAAGATTTTGAATTCTATTCTGGATTTGACAGGGAGCCAATGGAGAGAAGCTAAAACTGGAGAGATATGATCTCTCCCAGTAACTCCAGTTAAGACTCTGGCAGCAGCATTTTGGATCAACTGAAGACGTTTTAAAGAAGGATTTGGACACCCAGATAATAAACCATTGCAATAGTCCAGTCTAGATTGATGTTTGATTGATGAACAATTAACATTGACGATAAGTAATTCAGTGATGCTAACAGATAGGCTAACACAGTGATGCTAACACATATGCTAACACAGTGATGCTAACACATATGCTAACTCAGAGATGCTAGCAGATATGGTAACACGGTGATGCTAACAGCTTTGCTAACACAGTGATGCTAACAGATATGCTAACACAGTGACAGATATGCTAACACAGGGATGCTAACAGATATGCTAAATCAGTGATGCTAACACATATGCTAACACAGTGATGCTAACACATATGCTAACTCAGAGATGCTAACAGATATGGTAACACAGTGATGCTAACAGATATGCTAACAGTGATTCTAACAGATATGCTAACACAGTGATGCTAACAGATACGCTAACACAGTGATGCTAACAGATACGCTAAATCAGTGATGCTAACAGATATGCTAACACAGTGATGCTAACAGATATGCTAACGCAGTGATGCTAACAGATATGCTAACACAGTGATGCTAACAGATATGCTAACACAGTGATGCTAACAGATATGCTAACACAGTGATGCTAACAGATATGCTAACACAGTGATGCTAACAGATATGCTAACAGATATGCTAACACAGTGATGCTAACAGATATGCTAACACAGTGATGCTAACAGATATGCTAACACAGTGATGCTAACAGATATGCTAACACAGTGATGCTAACAGATATGCTAACACAGTGATGCTAACAGAGTGATGCTCAGCCAGCAGATGTAATGTTTGAGCCCCCGGGGCCTGCATACTGCAGAGTGCAGCTTGTATCAACCCGTGAGTCTGCTCCACCACACCTTCCCTCACTGCAGGGCGCTCTGCAGATTCCTTTATGTGGGGTCAGAGGTCACGCTGTGCAGGTGGACAGTGGAGACAACATACCTGTCCATCCTGTTGGACCTGCACCTCGTCCCTGCAGGGACCTAACAGGAGGCACATTCAGGTTTCCAGATTCAGGTCCTGACTTCTGCTGCCGGCTCTGAACCCACATGGTTCCTGACCTGGAAGCTGCAGCTGTGGTTTTGTTCTGTTGAGTTGTTCGTTATTGTTTTAGTTTTTTATGCAACTTTTGAATAATCTGCGATTTCTTCACATTTTGAAAGTATAAGTGACGGCATCGTGCTAAAACCTTTGACCTTTCCAAGAGTTTTCTAATGTGTTTGTTACAAACAGGAAGTGTTGTTTCTTCTGATTTGTGTATTTTAGCTTCATTAATGTATAAAAATAATAATTCTGTCTGATGTTGACCGAAGGTTCAGCTCTGTGTTAGAAAGCAGCCGAAGTTCTGATGCAGGTCTAAACTGGCTCAGGTATGTGTGTGTCACTCTGAGGAATGCTCTGTGTGTGTGTGTGTGTGTGCGTGCGTGCGCGTGCGTGTGCACGTGTGTGTCTTCGACACACCTTCACTTTTACTCAGATTTCTTGCTTCAGCAGCTCTGACTCTGAACTACAGCTCCCAGAATGCACTGCAGCTGGGTCACACAGGAGGCTTCTGTACCGGCCTCTACACCGTCCATAACGGGGACAGGAGGATGTCCACACAGGAGGACAAACACAGAGACAGAAGGTCTCAGAGACAGACCGCCACCAACAAACAGAAAATAAACAACAAACAACAACAAATGGTTTACAGAGACTCTGGAACAAAAGAGCAAAATGATCTTGAACAAAACAAAGACCAAGAGGTCTACAGAGAAGAAGACAAGACTGACAGAGACACGGTCTAGTTTTCTGGAGTCTGGATTATCAGCAGTCGAGCCGAAACGGGTCAGGAGGAAGTGGTTTGTGTCGAGGCGACAGTTGCTCTGCAGCTTCCTGTTCAAACCCTGAGAGTTCTCTACAGTCCTAGACCTGGTCCAGACCTGGTCCAGACAACAACCTGAACATCAGCTGATCATAAAACGTCTTGAGCCCTGTCCAGCATTCTTTTAACTCCGCCCACTGTCTCCTCTGGGGGACTTTCTAAGAACCAAAACTTCCTTGATCTAAAGATTCTGCTCCAGGTTACAGGCAGGAGAAACCAGATCAAACTGGAGATCTGGACCAGAACCTGTTGTCCTCTGCTGCTTGTTTGGGACGAGTTGTGGAGAGACGGAGGCAGAGAGGAGGTTTCTGCAGACTCGGGAGGCCCAGCTGGACCTCGGGTCTTTGGAGACCAGGATTTGAGAGTCCTGAAGCCCCACAGAGGAGCTGGATCAGAGCAGATTCAGGATGTCAGGGTCACAGTTGTGTCTCTGATTGTGGCTGGCTCGGTCTACTTCCTGGTTTTCACTTCCCAGGTGAGGCAGAGCGAGTGAGGCGGGCTGTCAGAGAGAGAGAGAGAGACAGAGGGAGAGACAGAGAAAGAGACAGAGAGAGAGACAGGAAGCAGCCTGTGAGTGGGGAGTGGCCCGACCTATAAGAGGCGCCTCGTCTTCCTGCTTTCTTCATTTCTCCTCTGTCCTCCGTTCGCGTAAGACCTGAGACTCTACCTGCACAGGTAAGCTGAACACACACACACACACACACAGGCAGGTGAGGGTGTGTGTGTCACTGACAGGGTGTGTGTGTTTCTGTGTGTGTGTTGTGGAGCAGGATGTCGTGGCAGTCCTACATCGATACTCTGAAGACGCCCGATCAGAGCGGGATGGTCCCAGTGATGGAGGGGGCCATCTGTGGGATCACACCTGGGCAGGAGAGTGTGTGGGTCAGCACGCCGGGTCTGTCGGGCATCACGGTGAGCGCACACACACACAAACAGACACACACAGTGACAGGTTCATCGTTGAACTGTCAGAACTTCACTTCCTCGTTTCTAAAATCGTCTGAGCCGTCGACTTTGAAACGTGTTTCCTGTTTCCTGTTTACCTGCGCTCCTCAAGACACCTGCAGCCTCACACCCTGATACACCTCGAAACACCCTGACACCCCGAAACACCCTGACACCCCGAAACACCCTGACACCCCGAAACACTCCGAAACACCAGGAAACACCATGAAGCTCCGCCCCTGTGCAGGTGACATCACCTGAGCCGCCTCATCAGCTCAGTTTGATCGTCGTCTTTATCAGAGCAGAGCAGCTTCCTGCGGGTTCTTCTTCTTCTTCTTGAGTTTAGGGTGCAGCTCAGCTGCTTCCCGTTATGTCAGGGTGGTGGGCGGAGTCCAATGCTGATGCTGCGTTCAGGCGCTGCCGGAGATATTGAACAGGTTGTGATCTGAGAAGCTGATTTTCCTACAGCTCATCGTCTGTGGTACAACCAGACCTTTACCAGAAATGTAAATGAAAAGATCCTTCTTTGATTTGAACTTCCTGTTTAGACATCCTGACTTCCTGTTGATTTAATTTTGCAGAGAGGAAGTTTTTCATCTCACAGGAGGACGTTTGAGACCAGAAGGTCCAGCACCGAAGGGTTCAAAGTTCCTCCTTTCAGAAGCGTTTCACCGTCTTGTATTTAAGATAAAAAGTGAATTATATATTTTAATTTAAAGGTTAATAATCTCTGATGGACAGGAGACATGAGATAGGGGACATGAGATGGGACACATGCGACATGAGATAGGACATAGGAGACATGAGATAGGACACAGGAGACATGAGATAGGACATATGATTTAGGAGACATTAGACTGAAGACATGAGTTTAGAGGCATGATACAGGGGACATGAGATATGAGACATGGCACAGGCAGAACACAGGAGACTGGAGACATGAGATTGGAGACAGGAGACAAGAGACATGCAATACGACACTAGAGTCAGGAGACAGTTGGGTTTTTCACTGAAGTAGTTTTTAGGTGTTAAAATGTTAAATCTTGCGTTTGGACCTTGGCCCGGTGAGTTCTGGTTGTTTGACTCGTGCTGTCAGGTTGTGTGTAACAGTCGTGTGTGACGGTGGTGTATGCGTATGCAGCCGCAGGTTCGAGTCCCATCAGTTTCCGGGTTTTTCTGAGGGGTTTTGGTGCCGAGCCTCAGTTTGAATGCCTTATAAGGACATGGTGTCAAAAAGGAGCGAAGACAGGAAGCTGAGGAGAACACACACACACAAACGCTCGCATGCACGTGCGTTCTTGTAAAAGTACCTTTTGGGGACTTTGCATTGACTTCCATTCATTTTCTACAGCCTAACCCCGACCCTAACCCTAACCCTAACCATTACTAGTACATGCCTAACCTTAACCGATCCGCAGTTCACACCTTAGTCCTAAACCTAACCCCTAACCCCCCAACGAGACTTCTCCTTATGGGGAGAAGCAGACACACACACACACACACACACACACATACAGATGTAGGAAGCAGAACTTTGTTCAGTTTTTTGTAACATTCCAGTTTCAGTTTATCTTTAAACCTTTAAAACAAACAAAGAGTTAAATTTTCAGATTGTGTAACTGCTGCACCGTGTGTGTGCATGTGTGTGTGTGTGTGGTAAATACGCCGCCTCCAGGCCTGCCTTCTGATTGGTTGATGCCTTCAGGAAGTGGTTTAGCCTCTGCAGGGCTACGTGTCGGGACTCATCACATTCTTTTCTCTCCTGCAGCTTCGACTCTATAGAAAACCTGGTCTGTGTCATGAGACTCGAGGAATCTGGATCTTGATGTACAGTTCAGGGACCCTGGATCCTGATGTTTATTTCAGGGACCCTGGATCCTAATGTCAAGTTCAGGGACCCTGGATCCTGATGTGCAGTTCATGGACTTTAGGTCCCAATGTATAGTTCAGGGACCTTGGATCCCGATGTTTAGTTCAGGGACCTTGGATCCCGATGTTTATTTCAGGAACCCTGGATCCTGATGTTTATTTCAGGGACCCTGGATCCTGATGTTTATTTCGAGGACCCTGGATCCTGATTGAAGTACAGGGACTCTGGATCCTGATGTGAAGTTCAGGGACTTTAGATCCCGATGTGTAGTTCAGGGACCTTGTATCCCGATGTGTAGTTCAGAGACTTTGGATCCTGATGTGTAGTTCAGGGACCTTGGCCTGATGTGTAGTTCAGGTACCTTGGATCCTGATGTGTAATTCAGGGACCTTGGATCCTGATGTGTAGTTCAGGGACCTTGGATCCTGATGTGTAATTCAGGGACCTTAGATCCTGATTTGTAGCTCAGGGACATTGGATCCTGATGTGTAGTTCAGGGACCTTGGATCCTGATGTGTAGTTCAGAGACTGGAACTTGATGGGTAGTTCAGGCACCTTGGATCCTGATGTGTAGTTCAGGGACCCTGGATTCTGATGTGTAGCTCAGGGACCCTGGATCCTGATGTGTAGTTCAGGGACCTTGGATCCTGATGTGTAGTTCAGGGACCTTGGATCCTGATGTGTAGTT